GCCACGTCTCCCACACGTACAGCATGAATCCACACCTGAGACCAGTTACCTCTGAGGGTGCACTACATCCAGCCAGGTCTCCCACACGTACAGCAAGAATCCACACCTGAGACCAGTTACCTCTGAGGGTGCACTACATCCAGCCACGTCTCCCACACCCACAGCATGAATCCATGCCTAAGACCAGTTATCTCTGAGTGGCATTAGCACGAAGCTGGACCAGACACAGAGGTGGGACTTGAAGGTAGCGACTCTGATGTGGGACACGGACCTCCAAAGTGGTGTCTCAACTGCTACACCAAATACGCCCGACTGTGCCCATATTTCTCAAGAGTTCCAAAAGGAATCAGATCCAAGGATAAATCCCAGCTTCGTCACTTGGTAGTTTCACTGAGTTTCCCTTCATGTCGAGATGAGGATGTGAAATGCAAGAACCAAAAAGCACAAGCACGTAGCAGGAGTCATGCCTGCCACCCATGTCCCCCTTCCTCCGCACTTCATAAAAATGTGTTCAGTACAACGCAATCCACTACAACGTCCAAACCAATGCTGAAAGTCTGAGAAATCACAAAATGTGGGCCGTATGGAAAGTTACATTCCTCTCCGTGGTCTATTTCCTCATGACGCTCTTGACTTACTCTGGTAGAAGTCTTCTACTTCTTAGCAGTTGCTTGCTGTGTTTTAAAGATAATAATAAGTAAAAACCTCATAATTTAACTCGTTATTAGTTAGCAAAGGTACCACCCAGGGGAAAAAACGATATTGTCTGCCAAATAAAACATACAAACTGAGTTTGTTATATATAAACAGCTTAAACAAAGCTATACACTACAACAATGCCAAATGAGAGTAACACTTTCCAGAAGCTCAAGCTATATGATAAACCTATTCTAAAACGTACAATCCTATCAATAATTCCGTTTTTAATTTTGATTATCCATTCAACACAGCATAAAGTGGCTCACCTTTGTGGTTCACCCTCAAAACAACTTTGATAACCAACATACCCACTTTTAGAAATCTCACAACTACCTACTGAAACAAACTCTGAGCAGCAGAATAACTTTTAAAAAATATTTATTTCGTCTTCATTAACAACATCTTTTCTACGTGTAAAGAACTGTAAGTGAGTTTACCACTCAGGCTTGAATTTAAAAAAAGCATAATCCTTGTTCTACATATAAGCAGCATTAAAGAACTAATATTTCTAACAAATGCATCAATAAAAGAAAATTTTATATTTTAGCAATTAGTGCAATTTTCACTTAATACCTGAATAAACAAGTTTTACACAATGTGATCATATATTTTAATAAACTACTCAATGCATAAATGCCTCATATATTACAGAAAATGCTTTTTTAACTAACTTCCTTCCTATCTAGACTGCCCCAGATCTCTTGCCAAATGAGGCAAGGTAGACACACAAAGGAATATGAATAAGAGGATAAATACAGCAGCTTTTTTATAAAAGCACTGTTCATACAGGCAGTAAGAGAGAGGTTAAGTGTGCTAATCAGATGAACAAACACCAGAATAGCAGGTGAGTTAGTGGAAGTCCAACGCCTCGGGCTGAATTCTAGCTCCACTGCTTCTACATTAAATTAAATCAGCCCTGAGCAAGTTCTCCAAATGCCCTACATTCCAATTTCCTCTTGTGTAAAACGATACTCGTAAGAATACATACTTCTCTGGAGTTTCAGGAAGCTCTAAAGGGATTATTCATGTACAAGCATCCAGAATAGTAGAAATGCAGCAACTAGTTGATAGATGGTAACCATTCCTATCACTATCCCACCGTAAATAGTCAGATACACATATCATAATCATATATACATTTTGTACATCATGACATGTGGATTATTCCACAAGTAAAGCAACAGGCAGACCAAAAGGCAGAGAATCCCCATGGCCGGACCACTGGTGTCAGCGTCTGTTCACTAGATGTTATGGCTGCCTTTCACTGCCAACACACACCTCCCCCAGAATAATCCAAAGAACCACTGATTCACAATGGTAACTTCATCAAACAAAAAGCCACAAACAAACACAGTTTATTCATAACTTGTTTTATTCATAATAACCTCAAATGTGTCACAACTACAATTGTATGAAGTAGATGGATTCACATCCAAAGTCATTCACTAGGGACTACCTTCAATAGCAGTGAACTGTTGGAGAGGAAATACGGTTAGAACTGTTAAATATTAAAGGAAAAACTGCGTGAGTACTTTGATGGGAACAAGCTTATCTCATGAGCACCTGATGTGCTGTTTTGGACAGTGATGACACACCCTTGTCTGACGACATCACTCAATAGCTGTGCGTTCCGTCAGGCTGTTTAAACCAAAGATGTGCGAAGTTACAGCCTTCCTTTCTGTCCCTCTTGGACGAAGTTTCCCCCACCCTTTGCCTTCCTGGCCCACTCTTCTTGAACACTGCCCATGTGTGTCTGTATTCCTCTCCTTCTGAATAAACTTACCACTTTCTTTAAAAAAAAAAAAAAGTTACATCCTTAAAGGAAAAAAATCCTATCTTTATTGCAAATCCTGGTTAACAAAAAGAGCTAAAAGCTTTAATGGAACATGAATACCACTTTTCCCACGTCAACTAAATCTCTTATCAAAAAAAATTCATTTTCCCTAAGGTAGGTTTATAATTAGAAACTACATTTCTCAATAATTCAGTGACCGAAATCATTAAAGTCAAATGGCCTTTCTAATTAAATGTTCTCCTTAATGTATAAGCTTCATCAGGCAGGTGCCATCTCTACAGTGACTAAAGCCATATTTATTACATAAGCTTTTTCCTCTGTGTTCAACCTTAACTTCGACTTGACATCCAACAGTACTTATTTATTGCTAAAACTTCTTAAAGTATAACAAATTACTAATGCATTCTGGTTACTACTCTGATTTTTACAATATTTATATTCCTTTTTTATTTTATCATGATAAAAGCTCAATAGTAAACATTTCACGTTTGTATATATTTTTCTCACTTCAAAAGAATACCTAGTGAAGTAAAATGGGCACAATTGTATCATGGCATTCACAAGAAGATTAGGATTTGAAAACCTAGAGATCAGAATTGAGATGTGCATAAAATTAGATTCAAGCTTAGGACATAAATACTGCACTTGTAAGGCAGTTCAAAAAGTTCATGGAAAATGAAATTAAAAGTTTACTTTGGTGCAAAAACATCTTGAAATACATGCACAATTTTTTCATAACACACATTTGCCCTCCACATTGCCCTCATTCAGGCGCATGTGAATCAATATGTGAAAAATAAGTAAAAAGTTGGTCATTACATTTGAATCTTGAGTATTTGCTAGGAAAGGCAGATGTGGTTAAATAATTCTTAAGGCATGATGATGAAATTTTCCAGAACTTGAAAAACCATAAACATGCTATCATCAAACCTCTCCACCCTGTGGATGCCACTTTAAATCTAGTGAATTTCACTGGCAATAAATCAGAGAAAATGTTTGCATAGATGTTCGCAATCACATTTCATCCATGACTTCACAAGATGGCTAAGATGACGAAGGCAAAAAGCTGGACCACCACTTTTCCACTGACCACAAATAATGAAACCAATGCAAAGGGATACCTCATCTAAGGATACCGGCCAGTCGTCAGCAATTACACTTTTTAAAAATTCTTACATTCTAGATCATTCAGAAAGAACAAAAATATGAAATGCGTATCATCTGAGAGATGCAATATCACGTGACAGAAAAAAATACACTGTTTAAAAACCCTAACATCCTCAAAAGAGAAGTGGCAATATCAGCTCCCAGGGTGCACACCACCAAGCACAAACCAAAAGAAAGGAAGGCAGGAAAGGGTACAGCAGCCTCCTGCTCCGCAAGCCACTCTCGAACCAGACAAAAAGGATGGAGCGCAGCCTCAGGAGTGTCCCCTGCTGCCACTGCGCGCCGGGCCACCTGGCTGCAAGCGGCCCCACACCAGCTCTCCTGGGGGAGGCAGGGAGGTAACCCGCAGCCCTCCAGAACGGCTCCGAGGAAGAAAGCTCAATTTCTAGCCACAGATGAACTCTGCCGCTTGTTTGTTTTCCTGCATTCAGAATCGTGGCGAAAACCGACTGAGGCAAGACAAACAAGCGCTGAGGGAGAATGACGCCGGGGAGAGGGGGCCGAGCGCGAGCCGCTGCGGGGATGACACGGCACCTGGACAGGGCGCGCGGCGGGGACGGGGTGTGCCCAGGGCGCTTCCCCGCTGAGGACACAGCGTCCCTGGCGGAACCGCACCGCCAGCCGCGGGGCCGAGAGCCGGGCGGGGAGACGGCTTTGTGCAGCCCCGAGCCTGAGCAGCCCGGAGGCTGAGCAGCCCGGCCCGGCGCCTCACGCCCCGCGCCCCACATCCCGCGCCCCGCGCCCCACAACCCGCGCCCCGGCCCTGCGTCCCACGCCCCACAACCCGCGCCCCGGCCCCAAGCCCCGCGCCCCACACCCCGGCCCCGGCCCTGTGTCCCGCGCCCCACAACCCGCACCCCAGCCCCGCGCCCAGCGCCGCGGCCCCGCCTCCGCGCCTCACACCCCGGACCCGGACCCGGGCCTCACACCCCGACCCCGGCCCCGACCCCGCGACCCGCGTCCCACACACCACACCCCGCGCCCCGCGCCCCACAAACGGCCCCGGCCCCACACCCCGCGACCCGCGCCCCAGCCCCGACCCCAAGCCCCACACCCCGGCCCCAGCCCCGGCCCCGCGCTCCACACCCGGCCCAGCGCCTCACACCCCGCCCGCAGCCCCACAACCCGCGCCCCGGCCCCGACCCCGCGCCCCACACCCCAGCCCCGACCCCGGCCCCGGCCCCGACCCCGCGCTCCACACCCGGCCCCGGCCCCGGCCCCGGCCCCACCCCAGCCCGACCCCGCCCCGACCCGCGCCCACACCGCCCCGGCCCGGCCCCGACCCCGCGCCCCCCACACCCCGCCCGCAGCCCCGGCTCCGCGCCCCGCGCCCGCTCACCTGCCCACGAAGTTCTCGAGCACCGAGCTCTTGCCGGCGCTCTGGCCGCCCACCACGGCGATCTGCGGCAGCTCCAGCAGGCAGCTCTGGCCCAGCGCCGAGAAGGCGTCCTGCAGCCGGTTCACCAGCGGGATCAGCTCCTCCATCTCGCGGTTCCCCATGCTGCCCGCCCCGGGGTCGCGTCGCCTCAGCCCGCCGGCTCCGGCCGCCCGCTCCTGACAGCTCGCAGCCCGCAGCGCGCCTGTGCGGGAGGAGAGGGCGTGGCCGGCGCCAGGCCCCGCCCCCGACGCCTCCGGCCGCGCGCGCGTTCGCGTCCCGGCGCTGCCGGAGCGCAGGGGTCGGGGCGGCCGCGCATCCGGTGGGCAGCAGCAGGGGCACCGACAGCCCCCCGTGTCCGGCTGGGGTCGGGGCGGCCGCGCATCCGGTGGGCAGCAGCAGGGGCACCGACAGGCCCCGTGTCCAGCCCTGCCGCAAGGGTCGCGGCGGATGCTCAGGAAGGACCTGCATCCCAGGTCCTGGCCTGACCTTCCCTGCCGTGAGGAGCCCACGACCCCTCATATCTACCATGCCCACTGGACCTCTCAGCCCAGCTGCTCCCTCCGGCCCTCCAACCTTTGCACTGTGCTGCATCCCTGTTAAATTTAGCCCATGGGAAGTGATTTGCAGTGGGTGGAGGGCCTGGGAGAATCCACAGCCAAAGGTCATGCTTCCTGGAGCGCCCTTAGCCGGTTTCTCTGGTTGCAGCCTCAAACGTGACACTTCCCTGGACTGCCTCACACTGCATTGCCTCCCCTAAGCACTTCTTACGACTTTAACTCCACATAAAGGCTAGAGACTATACACAAATATCACAGGTACCCTATCCTGCACATGAACGCGCCTCCAGCTCGGTCCCCAGCCTCACAACCTCTATGTCCCACAGTGTCAGCTGAACCCCAGCCCTGTGCGGTAGCCTCGTGACTAAAGTCCTCACCTTGCATGTGCCTTGGGACCCTGTACCTGCGTGGGAGACCCAGAGGAGGCTCCCGGCTCCTGGCTTTAGTTCAGCTCAGCTCCAGCCATTGAGGCCTCCTGGGGAATGAACCGGCAGAAAGTCCTTTGTCTCTGTGTCTTATTCTCTCTGTAAATCTGACTTTGCATAAAAGGAAATAAACATATTTTTTAAAGTGTGATAGGTTTAAAATTTTTTTCAACTTAACTCAAATCTGAACTCTGGGCTTTATAGATGTCCCTCTAATCCAAAAACCACTTGTACAGAAATGTTCATAATAACACCCCCTCCCAAAAAAAAGCACCAGCAATGCAAATGTCCAACAACAGGCTCCTGTGTTGGAAACTTTCATTCCCAGGGCGGAAGTGTTGGGCGGTGTTTAGGTGCCACGGAGTAAGGCCTTTCTCCGCAGGGGGCTGATGTTAAGGAGTGGCTTTGTTCCTGCCCGCTGGGCCTCTCACCGTGTACTGCCCTCTGCCTTGTTAAGATCTCAAGAGCTCCCTTCAGATGCTGAGCCGATGGCAGCACCGTGTCCTTGGGTTTCTTGGCCAAATAAACTTATGTCTTGCACATCACACAGCGTCACACATTTTGTTATAGACTCTGAGGAGAACTGAGATGACACATACAGTGCAAAACCCTCAGCTATAAAAAAAAAAAAAGAACGGACTTCAGGGATGGCGCTAGCCTGGTTGGACTCCCTATGTAGAATGGAAGACACCAAAGCCCCTATTCTTTAATTCTATTTGTTTCTATTTGAAACTGATTCCACATCAAGTTCTACAACAGCAGAACTATTCTGCATTAAGAGAAATTGATGTTAGTTGCCTTTGGAGGATGGTGACTGACGGCAGGAAGCATGAGGGGCCTCTCTAGAGTGCTAGGAATGTTCTAGATCATGATTGGGCTATTGGTAGGTGTTTGTCAAAACTCATCAAGCTTAAGTTCTGTGCAGTTCACTGTAAATTATATCTCAACTTTTTTTTTTACAAACAGGACAAAGCTAAATGCATTGTCTTCTCCACTAAAGTAGCTCCCTCTTGCAAGATCTGTCCCATGCATCTTTTCTAAGAATTATCCATCCATCCAACCAGTGTTTGTAGCTATGCTTGGCATGAAGCTGGAAAAGCATGAATGATGACTGAGAGGTGGCCACAGCCATGTGCATAAAAGGAACATTTGCTTAGACATGAACCAGTAGCAGTCAAAGCCCTTTGCCAGAGATACGCCATGGAGAAGAGAGCGACCAGCATACGCTAAGGAAGATGGCAACTACGGTTGGTAGCATTTTTTATCAACAAAAAGCAGATACAAAACATGCTGATAAAAGTAAATACACATCCCGCGTGCCATGAGCCAGCCTCTCCCCACAGACCTCGAATGAACTCCCCTACTTGGCTGCTCTGATTCAATTCAGATTTCTGATACTTGCAATCCAGTGTCCTGACACACACATCCTCTAGTGTGTTCCCTACAACGACCCAGTCACAATTCAGAACTCAAAAGACATTCTAGCTTCCTCTCGCTCTTGCTCACCCCCTAAACCAAGTCGGTCCCCACACCATGACCATTCTACCTCATCGAAAGCCGTTTTGTCCTCTCCATCTTGGAGTGAGTCCCTCAGCTGTAACTATCTTATCTCCAACAACCATCTTCACTATGCTTCCTGTACAGATAGATTTCACCAAATAGATTTTCACTGTTGCACTTGACACATTGCATTCGGTTACATACCACATTCTCTCTCCCACCAATGTGAGAGGCAGAATAATACCCCACCATGTTGGCCACGTTCTAATTCCCAGAATCTATAAATATTACCTGAATTAGTACAAGGGATTCCGCAGATGTTAACAAATAGGGGCCTTGGGATAGAAAGATTATTCTAGATTATCCATTCAGACGGGTCCAGTCTAATCACATGAATACATAAGAGCAAAGGATTTTTCCCATATGTATCCAAAGGAGACACTGACCATAGATGCAATTTGACAGGTTTTAGAGGAGGAGAAAGGGATTCGTACACCAAGAAACTACACTTAAACTGAAAAAAGCAGGGGAACGCTGTCCCCTGGAACCTCCAAGAGGAAGACATCCTTGCTGGCCCTTTGACTGCAATTCAGTGAGCTCAGTGCAGACTTCGACGTCACAGAACTGTAACAACTGTTAACGGTTTATTTGTACTTGAAAGGCAGATTTTACAGAGAAAAAAGAAGAGACACAAAGAGAGATCTTCCAGCTGATGATTCACTCCCCAAATGGCTGAGCTAATCCAAAGCCAGGAGCTCTCTCTAGTCTCCCATGTGACTTCAGGGTCCCCAAGACTTGGGTCGTCCTCCGCTCTTTCCCAGGCCAGTAGCAGAGAACAGGATCCGAAGTGGAGCAGGCAGGACGCGAGATGGTGCCACAGGGTGGAAGATCGGCTTTCTGTGCCACCATGCCAGCCCCTATAATAAATTTGTGTTGTTTTAAAACATTATTTCCTATGAAACTGTGTCATAAAATGAAATAAATGTAGTTTAAAAAAAAAACACTATTTCAGTGGTTTTGTTATAATGGGAAAACCCCACCCATATAACATTTTCTCAGCACCTGAAACCACAGTTTACTAAAGACAGACCTAGACAAATTAATACAACACAGGTAGTGTGTCCCCATGTATGAAGAACGAACTAAGCCCGCTTCCAAAGCTCAACTGCTGCAGCACTAACCCCTAATGTGACTGCGTTTAGAGCAGGAAAGAAATGAGCGTGAAGTCATAAGGGTGATCACCTAACAGGCTGAGTCTCAGCAAACACCTGAGCTATCTCACTCTTACTCTTCCTCCCCCACTTTCTATCCCCTCTGCGTTTCTCCCTCTCTACCTACCAGGTGTCCACACAGTAAAAAGGCAGCCATCTACAAGGCAGAAAGAAAATTCTTGGCAAGAAATGAGTCAACTGGCACCTCGACCTTGAACTTCCTAGCCTTGAGAGCGGTCAGAAATGAATACCTGTTGTGTAAGCCGCTCAGTTGGTGATGTTTTGTTAGAGAAGCCCCCGATGACTTCAAGCACAGGCTTTGTTGGAAGGAACCTACGATAGAAAGCAGCGAGCAGTCCTTGTGTCCGCGGCCAGTATGATTTCAGTGGGAGAAGATCTGGGTGATCCTGAGGACAGCCTGCTCTCTGTGCGTGCCCTGAGGAACACCAAGCACCGGGAGCACTCCCTCTAGTGTCCGAGTGCTCTGCATATGAATTTAGAAGACAATTCTGCCAAGCGTTTGGCAGAAGCAACATACAAATTTGAAGTTCATCAGCGCTGAAGCATCATCTCTATTCTTCATAACTTAGTTCAAATCAGTTCAATCAAACTGCTTCCAGAAACCATTCCGAACTACCCTTACCAACAGATTTCCTTCTTTAATGCCTCTTTCCAGAATTAGTCCTGCAATAACATGAAACGAAGAGAAATCTAACACCGAAACACTCACCTCAAGGTCTCCAGGAACACAGACACTTTCTCATAAAGTAATCGGACAGCTGGCCTAGCAGTTCAAATGCTGGCATCACCTATCAAAGTGCCTGGGTTCAAGTCCCAGCTCTGCTCCTAATTTCAGCTTCATGCTAATGTACACCCTTCAAGGCAACAGGTGACCTTAACCGGGCTCTGCCATGTGCAACAATTCTGCACCATTGCAGTTGTTTCTTAGAGTTCATGCTGCCAGGGACTCAGAGCTGAACGGAAGCACACATGTGGGGCACCAGAACCATCCCCAGAATAAACAGACTCAGGACCCCTCACTCAGCAAATACCTACCTCTCAATGTCATTTTGAGAAGAGACAAGCTTTTTGGTTTATTTATGTTCTTCATTATTATTATCCACAATACAGTTTTTTAATTCAGTTATGTTATTATTTTATGATACAGTTCCATAGGATCTGGGATTTCCATTACCACCTCCGCAAATCACCACCTCTCCACTGATTTTCACTATATCATTACAACAGCGTAGCCCTTCACAAACAGTCATAAGACCATCATTCTGCTATTTAAGTGTATCCTGGCAGTGTAGGTATGAACAATGGCAGAAAGTCCAGCATCTTATCGTCAAGATACATTAAGCAGTTTCATTGGGAGTTCATTCTTTCGATTTGGAAGTAGAGAAGCATATTGCATTGAATCCTCACATTTGGATATAATAGTCTCTGTCACACAATTACTGTACATCCCCTTAAATGAAAAGCCAGAA